TGGGTTTGAGCCGTTTTGTTTTGGTATTAAAGGGAATTAAAAATTTGTTTTTGTTTTGTATTTTTAGTTGGCCTATGGTGAAATGAAAAATGAAATACGTCCCACTAAAAAGGATTTGGATAAACGGATTTCCGAAATGCAAGAAAAGCATGGTAAGTTTAGTTCGTTCGTTTTTTTTTCCTTTATGTAAGTTTAGTGAACACTTGCGCACTTCTTTTTGTAATGACACTATCTCTTTTCTTGTCACATTTTAAGATATCACAATATTTTTGTTAAAGAAACTTTAGTATTTATGAGATTGTTAAGGCTTTTCGTGGACTTGAGGGAATAGATGTTGAAATCGTTAGATATTCGTAACTAATCTTAAAATGAAATTCACTTGATTAAGGTTTAGAAAATATTTGTATAAAAACATTTTCCATAAGAATGGATTTCTGAACACAATTTGGTGATACTTAGTCAAAAGTGTTATATTAAGGTTGAGTTTAGACCGGTCATTTATAAAGGGTGTTTTTTAAGCGCCATAGTATTTGAAGATTTAAAAAAAATCACACAAAAAGTTAATTTTTATAAGAAAAAAATTATATGACCAAGTTAATTTTGGACGTCCAAATTTGGGAAACTTTTTTGAGCATTGCGGGGCGAATGTAATGAATAACACGAACAATATTAGCTTCCGATCCATCAATTGTTGCTGGTCAAGAGGTCGATTTCTTGAGAAAACCTTGATCATGTTTCAATAATGATCTCTATTGACCTTTATTGCTAGCTACGACTTCATTTTTCAAGTAATCAAGACCGATGATGGCAAGAGCGTATAAACAGTATCAAACGGTGTATCTTTCTGGATGTAATGGAGTCTCTAGGGGTTGTTGTGGATTGATCTCATTATTTAGGTTTCCCTTTGGAAGTTAGTTAACAGCACATTTGGTTTTATCTGTTTAAGCATACGTATCTTGGAACAATAGTTTTCCAGTAAACTTATGTGTCCAACCATGTTTGAGGACTTAAAAATGGCGACGCTGATAGCACTCTATAAGCTGTACAACGGTGAGCAACAAAGGTATAAGTAATAGTACTTCTTGTAGTTACCTGCCTAGGCGACTCATTGGGAAGGCTTAACGTTCCAAATCCCCTGCATGTCTTGCAAATGCCATATAGATGGAAACATCTTGTAATTCATTACCTCAAAGTCTGTCACCGATAACCTATTCCTTCAGTTTTCTCGAACACTGAAACTGAACATCCATTACAATCTCATTCGGGAGATTACTTTGATTAACAGCGAAAGTATCGAGATAATTATCGTATAAGTAATAGTACTTCTCGTAATTACCTGTCTAGGCGACTCATTGGAAAGGCTTAACGTTCCAAATTCCCCGTATGTCTTGCAAATACCATATAGATGGAAACATCTAGTAATTCATAACCTCAAAGTCAGTCACCGATAAGCTATTCCTTCAGTTTTCTCGAACACTGAAATCAAACATCCATTACAACCTTATTCGAGAGATTACTTTGATAAACAGCGAAAGTATGGAGATAATTATCGAGAAAATAGGACCTTATTTATAGTGTACGAGTGGCTCGTTCCATCTGGGGCCTATCGCGAGACAGAAGAACAATCGAACGAATATGACTAGGTTAGGTTCACTGACAGCCACTTACGTTCTGATACCCTAGTAATTACAGGAGTACATATTTTGGAAGTCTTAATGATACTTTAGCGACCCTACATGTCCCGCTACATCGTATAGCTTTCAACAGACAAAAGAACAGACGAACGAATATGACTAGGTTAGGTTAACATGAAGCCACTTCCGTTGTGATACCCTAGTAGTTACAGGAGTACATATTTTGGAAGTCTTAGTTAGTAGTTAGTTAGTTAGTTTGAAAGGAGGATGTACATACATATATACACCAAATCCATAGAAATACACCTAGGCCTTTATCGGGCCTCTTGTGCACTCCTTAACCAGTGCCTCAGGTGGGAATCTAACCCACCACCTCCGGTCTACCAGACTAGAACACTAACCACTAACCTACCGGATGCCACTTTTGGAAGTATTAACGATACATTAGCGACCCTATATGCCCTGCAACATCGTATACATCTTGTAATTCATCATACCCTCCATTAGTTTTTTTAGAACCTCGAATCCAAACATTTCATTCAACAGATAATCATCTAGAAGGGCAAATCTTATTCGCGTTGTACGAGTTAACATTCTTTTTTGCTCATTTTCAATATCAAACAAATCTCATCAATAGAGAATATTTACGAACATCTTCCCTGTGAGCTCTATTATGCTTTTAACAGACGTGCAGATATGATTAGGTGAAATTAGGTATAAAGGGAAGACATTTCATGAACAGCTCATTTAGGCCCATTTAACTACTGATCCCGTTGTAAAGCCCTAGTGATAACACGAGTCTATAGTAGGTATCAGGGAGTAATACCTACTATAGTATTGATTCCAAAATGAACCCACCTGGTTTTATTAGTAAAATGGAGTATATTTTTTAGATTTATCCTCCATATCTAAAAGAAAGGCAGCACGAATGCGAAGTGATGCTCTCTAATTTCGATTAATATTGGACAGTTGCAGAGTAGATGGGGCACGGTCACTGTCTGACAACTTCTGCAGTAGTTATTATAGACAATATACCATATGATTACTGAAAATAACGGTATTATTTGCTTTCTACGGAAGCTTATAAGTAAACATGACTTGAATGCATCCTATAGAGATCAGGTAGACCTGATATGTGATTTCATAAAGCCGCCAAAGTTCGACATGTTCTTACAGTTCAATTTGAACGAATAATTTACAATTTGTAAGAAAAATACCAGCCATTTCTAGCTCGTTTATTAGCTATGCAGTTCTCTAGACACTTCAAGGATTATTTAGTCGTATATCCATAAATGAAGAAGTCAGAGGACGGCTGAAGATTCGCTACAACTAAACACCGTTCCGGATTCCAGGCGAGAAAACGTTTATTGAAATAGGGTTTCGTATAGCAATAGTCAACATTCGAATGTCATCTGGACATACTTATGTACAAAGATAGAGTCGAAATTTATTAGGACTCCAAATACTCTTTTAAGTTACAATTTATTAAACAAATATAGAACTTTCGTTGAACACTTTTAATTACTTCATGCACTATTAACACTTATCTTTAACCCATTACAATTCCCATATCACATTTGCACAGCTTTCAACTAAACTCAGCCAGACTCTGGGTAAGCTATTGATTTGTGTTCCTGTGTTTTAAATGTTTCAACAAATTAAATACAAATTTTTAACTCAAAAAGTGTAATAAAAAAAACTAAATTAATCATTTGGTCTATTAAACAAATTAGAAATTTATACATAAAAAAAAATCAATAGTTTATCCATGAGATGCAGTAGATTTAGTAAGCTTTTTGTTGTAAAGAGAAAAAAATGTTTGATATTTTTTCTTTTAATTGTAAATAATTGTGTATTATATAATTCTAGCCGAGACTGTTAATGAACTAGAAGAAATGATACAAAGTCAAAAGCAACTCATGGATAAATTAACCAATGAATGTAAAACATTAACGAATAAATTAGAAGATACAACTTTAAAACACAAGTAAATATTGAAACTTTTTGAAATCACTAAAGAAATTTTAAGGAATATTTATTAAAACAATTAAATAAATTCCTAAAAATTACATAAAACTTAACAGGAACACAGATTACAAGCCACATCAGACAGTTAGATAAACCAATAAACACAAAAAAGCTCTCCCCAAACTTTCGCTCATTTCCTTCATGTTTTATGATTTACAACTCATTTTTTTTGTTGTTGTTTGTGTCATTATTCTTATTATTACCTTGTTGTTGTAACACTTTAACACTTTTCTCCAGAGAAAAGAAAAAAAAAAACATATAAATACACTTTCAAATACAAAACAAAACTCCATTTTTTTGGTTTAACATGCTGTCATTGTAAATTTTTTGTGCTGCCATTTTGTCTTATGAAATATAAAGAAACCACAACTACAACCTTAGACATACAACCGCAACCACAAACTCCAACTACGCCACAAATACAACCACTCCCCGAAATCTTAAAAGACAACGAAGATGTAATAATGGAAGTAGTAAAGACACCTGTAGCGGAGTCACAAACCCCTGCTACAATTGCAACACTAGCGATAGAAGAGACAACAACAAAGGAACTGGTGCGAGTTCAGCCGGCAGCGAGAGAAAACGTAAACGTGTACACTTCTCGCTTTGATGATGAACATATCTGGGCGAATATATCACGTAGCACTGAACGTTTGGATTTGGAATGGGCTAAAATGCCACCATTACCTAAACTAACACCCAGCACAAGTAGCAAAACAAAATGTCACTGTCAACTCTATAAAAAGTATAGTTCAAGGGATTCTTTAACATCCGATATGTGTAAATGTAATAAAGGTCCTCTTAGTACATCCTATAAATATTCGGATTTAACGAAATATGGCAATACAGTAACAAAAAATTTATCATTTAATAACAAAAACACTAATAACAAAACCACCATACCACAACCCTTAAAACCAACAACGACAACAGATTGTCATCTGTTTCATCATAGACATAATCTCACTTTAGATTTAAAGCACCCCTGTACGAAAAGGGATAGTAAAGAACAGAACCTAGAAAACACCATAAATATAGAGAATACCACCACCACCAATGACACCTGTAATAGTAACACCAGCACCCACTATGAACGCAGTAATAGTAGATCGAAATTTAGAAAATCTCCTCGTTTGGATTGTCACTCGCGCACTCGGTGCTATTCACATGATCGTTTAATGGATCATTCAAGAACAGAGCCGTTGACTTGGTTGCAACAGCATCTTGTTCTAAAACAAACCATTAAAACTTGCCACACCTATCCAACTACAACAATGAACTATGAAAATGCTACAACACATCCATGTCATAGATATGACGACACGCCCTCTCCATCATGTTGCCAGGGTCAACATGTCCTACGAGCCTGTTGTAATAACAAAGAGTGTCTAAAGGATGTGGAAAAACCAGCCACGAAAAAACCGGAGCAAGATAAAAGCACCAATACCGAGAGTATGCAAGAGGAAAAGACTTTATGTAAAAAGAAACCGGTAAAGGTTGATATCAATGTAAGACTAGTGCCAAAATCTTCAAAACGTGAGAAATCAAAATCAGCTGTTAAAAGTCAGTATACTGTAAATGTGGAAAAAGAAGAGCCTTTGGAGGCTGAAGCTTTGGCTGATGAAAATCCTCGGGTGGATATTCTTGAACTAGATAATCAAGAAATTAGAACAGAATTTTAAATCCGGGGTTAATATATAATTTTATTTTGACTTTAAAATCCAAGCACACCTAAACAAAATTATGCTCTTTAAGCTGAATGGTTCAAATATCTAAAATTTTCGGTTTCGGATCTTATCAGAAATTATACAATAGACCGTATATTACACTATAGTTAAGAATATAATCTGAAACTGCAGACTTTATTCTAGACTATAGATTTTAGTCTGGCCTAAAGTCTGGATTATATACTATAGTCTGGATTATAAAATATAGTCTGCACTATATACTGAACAATGGAATATAGTCCATACTACAGACTGGACTATAGACTATAGTCTTGATTATAGAATATGACCATAGACTGGAATATAGACAAGACTATAGTCTGGACTATGGATTGGAATATAGTCTGGACTATAGACTGGAATATAGTCTGGACTATAGACTGGAATATAGTCTGGACTATATACTGGACTGTAGTCTGGATTATAGACTGGACTATAGTCCGGACCATATTCTGGCCTATAGTCTAAGCTATAATCTGGGCTATAGACAGGACTCTAGTCTGTGCTATAAACTAGACTATAGTGTGAGCTGTAGACTGGACTATAGTCTGGGCTATAGACTGGACTATAGCCTGGACTATAGACTGGACTATAGACTGGGCTATAATCTGGGCTATACTCTGGGCTATAGTCCAGGCTATAGTCGAGTCCCAGACTATAGTCTGGCCTATAGAAAAGACTATAGTCTGGCCTAGAGAAAAGACTATAGTCTGGCCTATAGACAAGACTATAGTCTGGACTATAGACAAGACTATAGTCTGGCCTATAGACAAGACTATAGTCTGGACTATAGACAAGACTATAGTCTGGACTATAGACAAGACTATAGTCTGGACTATAGACTGGACAATAGTCTGCACTATAGACTGGAATATAGACTGTAGTATAAACTGGACTATAGTCTGGAATATAGACTGGACTATAGCCTGGACTATAGCCTGTAGTATAGACTGGACTATAGACTGACTATAGTCTGGACTATAGACTGGACTATAGACTGGACTATAGTCTGGAATATAGACTGGACTATAGACTGGACTACAGTCCAAACTGTATGGACTATAGACTCGACTATAGACTTGACTATAGACTGGACTATAGTCTGGAATATAGACTGGACTATAGTATGGACTATAGACTGGACTACAGTCCAAACTGTAGACTGGACTATTGTCTGGACCACAGACTGGACCATAGTCTGGACTATAGACTGGTCTATAGAGTGTACTATTGACTGGTCTATAGAGTGGACTATAAACTGATCTATAGATTGGAATATAGACTGGTCTATAGAGTAAACTATAGACTGCTATATAGAATGGATTATAGTCTGAACTATAGACTGGTCTATAGAGTGGACAATAGACTGATCTATTGAGTGGACTATGGTCTGGCCTAAAGTCTGGACTATACACTAAAGCCTGGGTCATAGATTATAGTCTGGACTATAGATTATAGTTTGGACTATATACTATGGTTCCGGTTAAAGACTATACCCTCGACTATAAACACTGGTCCCGACTATAGTTTATATTCTTGACTATAGACGATAGTCGCGACTATGGACTATAATTTGGTATAGTCTCAACTATATTCTGGACCAGAGCATATAGTCTGCTATAGCAACACAACAGATAAACTAGTCAAACAGTGGTACTACAGTTTGAAATATTATACTGACTATATTTATAGTCCATAATATAGTCGAGACTTTAGAATATAGTCGAGATTATAGACTAATATTTTTTTGTTACTACGTTTTTGTTACTACGTTTTTTCTTATTTCTTTTACATTCGATTTCATTTTTTTTTTTCTTTAAATTTATTTAATTTCCCTTAGTTCTGAAAAACAAAATTTACGTGATATGAACTCAAAACTAATGGATCGTTTGAAGCATATATGGTCCAGTTATAAAGAACTAAATATTAAATTGCAAAAAATCCAAAGTTTTGAGAGTTTTCGTGAATCACCGGTACAAAGTGAAACGAACAGTGGTCGGGAAGAGCATAATTCTACACATAATTTAACATTTATACAACAGCAGCAACAACAAAAGGTTTGTATTTAAGATCAAATAATAATGAATTTTTCTCTTTCTTTCTCTCTCTCTCTCTTTCTTCCTGTGTCTTTCCTTTTTACTCTCTCTCTCTCTTTGCTTGCTATTTGTAAAAATTTTGAAATTATTTAAAAACATTTTGTTATAACTGAAGAACGGAAATATCTTCATTACAATCCAATGTTGAATATTTAACAAATCGCATGTTAAACAGTGATCGTCTTGGTAAATTAGATAATACACCAACATCTTATAATAGTTTACCCTCAACAGCAGGCAAAGGTAACGATTATAAACATTAAGAGATCTGAAATGTTTCCAGAGTTCACACACTTCGTTTTTAAATCTTGTAGTTTTAAACACTAAAAAGTGCTTCATTTCGAGGTTTTTGGTTTTTAAATATTTTTTTTATTATTTTACTAAATTTGAAAATATTTTTCGAACCTTATATATTCTTCTTCTTAGTTTAAGAATTGCTTCATTCTTATTTGAAATAGCACTATCTTCTTTCTGATAAATTCGACTTTTTTTGTAGTTAAAATTTCTTATAATTTTATATTTTCTTGCCCAGCCTCTCTCGACTACAAGCCGTCCACATTTGGCACAACCAACAACGATCCTCCACGATCCATTACAGATGACTACAGCAGCAAGACCAATCCCTACAGCTACGACTCCATACTGGGAAAAACAACAGCCGGTGATACCAACACAACAACAGCATTACCCACCTCCACAACAGCTTCCTACGATAATGACTACAAGTCCAAATATGAATCACCCAATAGCGCATACGACTACAAAACATCAGCAATCAATGACAACGATGACGAAAATCTCAAAGACAACATTGGCGAAGGAGAGAAAAAGCAGCAGCAGCAGCAGCAGAGAGACCCAAATGTTGGAGATAGCAATACAAACGCAAATGACACAGCAGGAGACTACACGACCTCGGGAGAAATACCAGATGCCACAAATGTTGCAGACTATTCGGCAGCCGATTACAGTGGCTATGAGGGATACGATCAGCAGCAATATGATGCCACAGCCTATGATCCCTCCTATGATCAGTCACAATACGGAGGAGAGTCAGCACAATATGATGCTGCAGGACAGGGCTATGATACCACAGGCTATGACTACAATGCCACAGATTATGATGCCTCTGCATATCAATACGACACCAGTGGAGGACAACAGCCACAAGCAGCAGAGCCAACAACGCCAGCACAAACACCAGTCACATCTGCTCCTGCAACAGCAGCCACCCTACCAGCAACAGCTGCAACCACAGGCCCTAGCTCTGGGTCTACAGGACCAACAGAAGGCCGAGCTCAATCGCGAACGAGCAGTGGCCCTGTGGGGCCAACAACTACAGCTGGAGGAGTCTCCGGCTCAAAACCCTCTCTGCCACAACAGTCTTCCACGCCAGCAACCAAAAAGTAGTTGCGATCCCCAACTCGATCTAACTACAAACCTAACTAATGATTGTATAGATCCCTTTGATTTGGAATTTAGCATAAGTAGTCCAAGTTTAATGCGTTCCTTTGGTTCCGATACCTGTACCGAAGTCGATGATAATGAATCTTTTGATGACCAAAAACTTAGCAGTGATTCGTTAACGGATAAAACTCTATCACCGACTCAAACTGCCATAAGGAGAAGGTCACCAGAAAACCCAGCAATATGAAAACTAGCAAAGGTCTTCGGTTCGAGTATGTAATTCTATTTAAATTTATTCGATTTTTAAAAATACAGCTGTACATTATATATGAATATTGTAATAATCGTGTTATGTAATAAGTTTTATTTAAATAAAAAAATTATAAATAAATTTAATTTATTATAAATTAATCAAATATACAAAAAAAACCTATATACTTAAAAGAAAAAAGCCTCATTTTTATAAAAAATTTGCATTCAGAATGACATAGTTATTTCTTAAATTACTTTTCTATGGCACAGAGCAGGGCTTACCCACACTCAAGAGAAAGCAAGTGGTGTATAAACTCAATTCCAATTCCGGTGAAGTACCCACTAGTAAAGTGTTATAGGCTTTGTTTATATTGTGAAAATTAAAACGAATGGCTGTAAGATAATGGGAATCCTAGAATATATAAATTTAATTAAAAATGTCTTTAAATTTTATTATTATATAACTTACCTTTTCCAAATCCACTTTACTGATATAGCCTTTATAATCCAAATTACCCAATTTTTCCTGTTCATTAAAATACACCCAATTGTGTAGACCTAAAACATTGTGATCACGTATTTCTGCCATGAAAACATGTTCGAAGCCCGAACTACCAATACGTCCTTGGCCTCGAGAGTACTGTATGAACCAGGTGTCTTTTAAGAGTTGTAATTGTGTATTATAGTTGTTGGTTACAGCTCCTGGAATGTGGGCAATCAGGTATTGTTTTCTACTTTTTTTAATTTAAATATAATGCCAAAGATGTGAGGAATGAGAGATGATGGGGTAATAAATGGATCAGATGCCTAAGAGCAGCCGTATGCTAGCGGCCACTTTAATTTCCACGACATAGACATCAACCGTATTTCTATACCACTATAGTGGGTAGAGGGTATTATCGGTTAAGAATCCTTATATGAGTAGTCTGTCTATAAGGATTTGTTAAGCTACAGGTTGCAATTTTGCAAGAAAAGATATATTGAAACTGGTTCATTATTTCACCTAGGCCCTTTACAACTGGGCCTACGTTAAACAAATCTGCACAACTAAGTTTTATTTAAGCCTAAACCCACATTGATAGTTCTTTTCAGAACATGACTTCAACGTCCATAATACTCCTATAAACGATGAAAATCGACATAATTGTTTTTTTTTTTTATAAACAAGCACCTCTACAAATTGTGTAGTCTAGTCCATGTTTGACCCTATCCCTCATATAAATTGCTCCACAGAAAAACAGATTTTCATCTATAAAAAGTATATGGAGGCTTTCTTACAGTCCAATAAGTTCTTAAATTGAATCTTATCTCCTGATATCGCCCTAACTACCTTCTGCATGTCGATAAATGATCAAAATTAAAATTTGTGGGGAATGGTCCTTGTATTCCAGTTATATTCAAATATCGGTCTTAATAATAGACCGATTATTATAAATTTTCTATAGTCTGATTGGGAATCCAATGATGAGTGGAGTGGTCCTGTCAAAACAATGACCCTTCGACTCTACTTGATTGTTCGCGTTCAGTGAACTACTACGACAACCAACAACATATCAACTATGGATCGGACTGTTCGAGTGTGGTGAACTACCACGACAACCAACAACAATGATGAAAAATATGTATATATGAGCTACGATCAATTATGATCGGATCGAATCAACAAATCGTTAAGTTAATTTAATATATTGGATGTAAGGCGGAAATCTAAAAATCATATCACAATTTCATCATCTCATAAATTATTCGATATAAAATTTGATAAAACTCGTTTTTAAAACTTTTTTGAACTTTAAATTTCCTTTTGCAAAATATTGATGAAATTTCAAATAAAATAATTTCTTTATAAAATAACTAACCTTTAAATTCCAAAAATTTCATAGTTTTCTTCATAATGGGTGTATCGAGGACAGCTTTAAGAAAATCCAATTCTTCTTGTTCCTCTTCGGGTGTTACCTGTTCAATGGCATGGGTATCCAATTCATAGTTATCAAATAAACGACGCATTAAAGCTATAGTTTTGACATCGTTTAAAGACAGCAGATCTTCATTGACCTGTAAGAGACTGAGAGAGATAGCATTCATTGTTAATTTTTTTTGAAGAGAATAACAAAATTGTTGTTGCAGGTTTATTATTTAGGAATTATAAGCGATTATTAATGATCTTGCTTTCAAAAATCATCCAAACAAGTTTTTTGTGACATTTTCTTTTCCAAGTAGTGTTATAAGGGAAAGGGAATTTTATTACATTAATACAGAAAAAAATCAACTAATGTTAAAAGAGTAAGTATAGAAAGTACTTCATCAGATACGAAAAATATACCTATGCCGATATCGGGTATCTTGTGCGCTCCTTTACATAGAACTTGTTAGTGGGAAGAACTTATATAGTTAGTGCTCTATGCAAGTATTATCATTCTTTGTTCAAAAACTCAGTTTCCTGGACATAGTTCCTTTGAATTTTATAGTCTAGTCTATAGCATTGCTATAATCTAGTCCGGGCTTTACTCTATGGACTGGACTATTGTCTACTCTGGACTATAGTCTATTCTATTTTCTAAACTAGACTATAGTCTGGACTAAAGGTTACTATATAGTCTGGAATAAAGTCTACTCTATAGTCTACACTATAGTTTGGACTATAGTCTACTCTATAGTCTGGACTATAGTCTACTCTATAGTTTGGACTATAGTCGACTCTATAGTCTACTCTATAGGCGACTCTATAGTCTGGACTACAGTCTTGACTATAGTCTACTCTACAGTCTGGATTATAGTCTACTCTATTGTCTGTACTAGAGTATACTCTATAGTCTGGACTATAGTGTACTCTATAGTCCACACCATTGTCTACCCTATAGTCTGGACTATAGTCTACCCTATAGTCTGGACTATAGTCTACTCTATAGTCTGGACTAAAGTCTACTCTATAGTCTGGACTATAGTCTACTCTATAGTCCAGACTATAGTCTACTCTATAGTTTGGACTATAGTCTACTCTACAGTCTGAAATATAGTCTACTCGATAGTCTAGACTATAGTCTACTCTATAGTATGGACTATTGTCTACTCTATAGTTTGGACTATAGTCTACTCTATAGTCTGGACTATTGTCTACTCTATATTTTGGACTATAGTCTAGACTATAGTCTACTCTATAGTTTGGACTATAGTCTACTCTATAGTCTGGACTATTGTCTACCCTATAGTTTGGATTATTGTCTACCCTATAGTTTGGACTATAGTCAACTCTACAGTCTGAAATATAGTCTACTCTATAGTCTAGACTATAGTCTACTCTATAGTATGGACTATAGTCTACTCTATAGTCTAGACTATAGTCTACTCTACAGTATGAAATACAGTCTACTATCTAGTCTGGATTATAGTCTGGACTATAGTCTGGACTCTATATTGTCTTCACTGTAGTCTACCGTATATTCTGGACTACAACCTACTCTATAATATGTACTATAATAATAATATAATCTATAGTCTAACTAATATTCTAATCTGTAGTCCGGACTATAGTCTAATCTATAGTATAGTATATAGCCTAAGCTATAGTCTAATCTATAGTCTGGACTATAGTCTACTCTTTAGCCAGGACGATAGTCTACGCTATAGTCTGGATATTAGCCTACTCTATAGTCTGGACTTTTTAGTCCATTTTATAGTCTTGACTATAGTAAATATAATACTTTCGTTCATTCGCTATAGATTAATTCCGAGTAGCCAATGGGTCTCATGTTGTAGTTATATGTAAATATCGGTGCCAAACATAATCAGTACTTCAGTTTCCTGCTATAGTGTTTTAGGCTAAAAAACGCTTACTACCGGGACACCCTAATTTAAACCAGAAGTAAAAATTTGTTGTTTTTTTTTTTGTTGTTGTTCCTCTCTTAAAAATATGCACACGTTTACAACAAAAACACAAAACTATATCAAAAATATATCCACAAATTTCCATGAAATTCTGTAACAAATTGTGAACATAACAACTTACGGTTGTGGTGCTCTATCATCACGATAGGAGGCCTTGGTTTTACCCTGAAAATTAACTTTCGCTAAATACGGATTATGTTGCATTTCTAGTTCATAGAGATTTCGGGTAAATTCGTGTATTTCATGTTCTGTGGGAGTGACATGTTCTTTTGAGGAGGGATCATACATGAAATGTTCTGTAATTAAAAATATGTTAATTTTTTAAGCGAAAACCAAAGTTATAGTCTTGTCTAGTTGCTACCATATAAATGCCAGCCTATAATGGCCAATGCGGCCAAAACTCCAAATACTATGAAACGTTTTATTTTGGCACATTTTTCCTCTTCCGCCGTAGTAGTGACGGTGGGGATGCTACTGTTGTTGTTGGGGCTTGGCATCTTAGCGATACTTTGTTGTTTTTCGTTGTTTTTTGCACTAACGTTAATTAGTTAATTACACTTTTTTCCATTTATCATAGATATATTAATTACTTTTTTTCTGTTTAATTATTATTTCACTTTAACTACGAGTATATTTTATCTTTTTTTTAATTTTCGTGTTTTTTTTCTTATCCGCCGCGTCTCTTCTTTTGATTTCACTCTTTCAACTGTTTTTGTATATTTGACAATTTGTTTTAATATTTTTAGTTTTTGTTTAAAACATTCCGTGTTTTGATTTGAGATCATTATTTGATTTCAGCGTTTTTGTGCTGTTGTTGTATTTCTTGTTTATATTTAAATAAAAACTCCAAATGTGTGTTCTCACACTGTTGTTGTGATTATTTGTACAGCTGTCTAAAACAAAAGTACGTATTTGTTATACGGTGAGATACAAAAAACATTTATCGTTTATTTTGGATCTCTAGAGAGTCGTTTATGTTATAAACAAATGTAAATCTTGGAGCAAGAGAGTAAATTATTTGGGCCAGTAATGTTAATATAGCGTTTTTTAAATACCAATTTATTTTTATTCTTAAAAAACTAAATGCTAATAAATATTGTTTCAATTTAATTTAATCCTAGTTTCCCATAGAACTCCTTACTCCTCCCCTTTCATTCCTTAATTGAAGCATATGCCGAACCTATAGTTTTCTTGCCATTAAAATCCAAAGGCCATGTTACTATTTGAAATTTCAAACGAGCCAATTGCACGTGACAAGGTTTTCCAGCTTTTAGTACAAAACAAACAGTATATAAACTCATTTCCAGCTCAGGACTAGTACCCACAAAGATGCCATTATAGGCTTTAGTTTTATTATAAAATTGTGAGCGAAATGTGACAATATACTGGGAGCCCTATAAAGACAACAAATTTAGTATTTTTTTGTGAAATGAAATTTTCTTTTTAACCCTACCTCTTCTAGAGTTTCCTTTTCAATATAGCCTTTATAGTCTAGATGGCCTAGGCGTTCTTGCTCACTAAAATACACCCAGTTGTGTAAGCCGAGCACAGTTTTCTTACGTAGCTCACCTAGGAAGACATGTTCAAAACCTGTGCTGCTGAGAGTGTTATCGCCCGGTTTGCGTGAATAGGGTAAGAACCAGAGGGTTTTTTAAAAGCTGCAAGTGGGAGTCGGGGTTTTTAGAGACAGCTCCTGGAAAGTAAAAGTTTTGTAAGTTAGTTAGTTAGTTAGTTAGTTAGTTAGTAGTTAGTAGTTAGTTAGTAGTTAGTTAGTTAGTTAGTTAGTTAGTTAGTTAGTTAGTTAGTAGTAGTTAGTTAGTAGTAGTTAGTTAGTTAGTTAGTTAGTTAGTTAGTAGTTAGTTAGGTTAGTTTAGGTTAGTTAGTTAGTTAGTTAGTTAGTTAGTTAGTTAGTTAGTTAGTTTAGTAGTTAGTTAGTTAGTTAGTTAGTTAGTTAGTTAGTTAGTTAGTTAGTTAGTAGTTAGTTAGTTAGTTAGTAGTAGTTAGTTAGTAGTTAGTTAGTTAGTAGTTAGTTAGTTAGTTAGTTAGTTAGTTAGTTAGTTAGTTAGTTAGTAGTAGTTAGTTAGTTAGTTAGTTAGTTAGTTCGTTAGTTAGTTAGTTAGTTTAGTTAGTAGTTAGTTAGTTAGTTAGTTGTAGTTAGTTAGTTAGTAGGTTAGTTAGTTAGTTAGTTAGTTAGTAGTTAGTTAGTTAGTTAGTTAGTTAGTTAGTTAGTAGTTAGTTAGTTAGTTAGTTAGTTAGTTAGTTAGTTAGTTAGTTAGTTAGTTAGTTAGTTAGTTAGTTAGTTAGTTAGTTAGTTAGTAGTTAGTTAGTTAGTTAGTAGTTAGTTAGTAGTTAGTTAGTTAGTTAGTTAGTTAGTTAGTTAGTTAGTTAGTTAGTTAGTTAGTTAGTTAGTTAGTTAGTTAGTTAGTTAGTTAGTTAGTTAGTTAGTTAGTTAGTTAGTTAGTAGTTAGTTAGTTAGTAGTTAGTAGTTAGTTAGTAGTTAGTTAGTTAGTTAGTTAGTTAGTTAGTTAGTTAGTTAGTTAGTTAGTTAGTTAGTAGTTAGTTAGTTAGTTAGTTAGTTAGTTAGTTAGTTAGTTAGTTAGTTAGTTAGTTAGTTAGTTAGTTAGTTAGTTAGTAGTTAGTTAGTTAGTTAGTTAGTTAGTTAGTTAGTTAGTTAGTTAGTTAGTAGTTAGTTAGTTAGTTAGTTAGTTAGTTAGTTAGTTAGTTAGTTAGTTGTTAGTTAGTTAGTTAGTTAGTTAGTTAGTTAGTTAGTTAGTTAGTTAGTTAGTTAGTTAGTTAGTTAGTTAGTTAGTTAGTTAGTAGTTAGTTAGTTAGTTAGTTAGTTAGTTAGTTAGTTAGTTAGTTAGTTAGTTAGTTAGTTAGTAGTTAGTTAGTTAGTTAGTTAGTTAGTTAGTTAGTTAGTTAGTTAGTTAGTTAGTTAGTTAGTTAGTTAGTTAGTTAGTTAGTTAGTTAGTTAGTTAGTTAGTTAGTTAGTTAGTTAGTTAGTTAGTAGTTAGTTAGTTAGTTAGTAGTTAGTTAGTTAGTTAGTTAGTAGTTAGTTAGTTAGTTAGTAGTTAGTTAGTTAGTTAGTAGTTAGTTAGTTAGTTAGTTAGTTAGTTAGTTAGTTAGTTAGTAGTTAGTTAGTTAGTTAGTTAGTTAGTTAGTTAGTTAGTTAGTTAGTTAGTTAGTTAGTTAGTTAGTTAGTAGTTAGTTAGTTAGTTAGTTAGTTAGTTAGTTAGTTAGTTAGTTAGTTAGTTAGTTAGTTAGTTAGTTAGTTAGTTAGTTAGTTAGTTAGTTAGTTAGTTAGTTAGTTAGTTAGTTAGTAGTTAGTTAGTTAGTTAGTTAGTTAGTTAGTTAGTTAGTTAGTTAGTTAGTTAGTAGTTAGTTAGTTAGTTAGTTAGTTAGTTAGTTAGTTAGTTAGTTAGTTAGTTAGTTAGTTAGTTAGTTAGTTAGTTAGTTAGTTAGTTAGTTAGTTAGTTAGTTAGTTAGTTAGTTAGTTAGTTAGTTAGTTAGTTAGTTAGTTAGTTAGTTAGTTAGTTAGTAGTTAGTTAGTTAGTTAGTTAGTTAGTAGTTAGTTAGTTAGTTAGTTAGTTAGTTAGTTAGTTAGTTAGTTAGTTAGTTAGTTAGTTAGTTAGTTAGTTAGTAGTTAGTTAGTTAGTTAGTTAGTTAGTTAGTTAGTTAGTTAGTTAGTTAGTTAGTTAGTTAGTTAGTTAGTTAGTTAGTTAGTTAGTTAGTAGTTAGTTAGTTAGTTAGTTAGTTAGTTAGTTAGTTAGTTAGTTAGTAGTTAGTTAGTTAGTTAGTAGTTAGTTAGTTAGTTAGTTAGTTAGTTAGTTAGTTAGTAGTTAGTTAGTTAGTTAGTTAGTTATTTAGTTAGTAGTAGTTAGTTAGTTAGTAGTTGTAGTTAGTAGTTAGTAGTTTAGTTCTTGCATTCTATTATCCAAACTCCTTACCTTCGATTCAAAAAGTCATTGTCTTGTTCATGATCGGAAGTAGCAAGAATTGCCTTTAAGAAATCCATTTCTTCCTGTTCTTCTTCTGAAGTTACATTTCAGTTATCGAGTTGTATTCAGTTCATAATTATCATATAAACGACGCAACAATGAAGTAGTTTTTAACTCAGGCAATGATAAAGCAGTTTCATTCACCTGTAAAAGACTGCACGAAAAATTAAATGAACAAAAAAAAAACTAATTTCTGAATACCCTAACAGTAACGATAAATTAAATAAATTTACACATCTTATTGATGTTTTTTGTTTTTGTTTATCTTCATTAACAAATTTCAACAACTTACGGTATGTGTGCCACATCATCTTTTGAGCTGGTATCAGTTTTACCCTGAAAATTAACTTTAAGCAAATAGGGATTGTGTTTCACTTCCAAATCATATAATTCTCGAGTAAATTCATCAATTTCTTGACGAATATGAATTAGTTGATGATCATCTGAAGGTGCTTTCTGTAGGAAAAATGCTGCAAATATTAAGTTCATATTAATATATTGTTTTAAATTTAAAGCTTTTTAATACTTACCATATATAAGCCAACTTAATATCGTGGCCATGGCGGCCAAAATTGCAACTAACATAACAAGTTTGATTTTTGTGCACTTTCTATTTTCCATTATAAAGAGTTGTTGCGTATAGCAGTTAATTCAGCAGATTGATTTGTATCGATTCAGCGTCGCTAGGTTTTTTGGGTGTTTTTTACACTTAATGTTTTAAATTGAGTGAAATTGATGAAACATAGATTTATTTTACAGTTTTTTAAGTTGAATAATGTTGCTAAAACTTTCTAACAAAATAAGAAAAAAATTTACTAAAAAAATTTTTTTTTAATTCGTATTTTAGAAAAGAACGTCTTAAAACTCGCACCACTATAAAACTACTGCTGCTTAACATGTGGTCAAATTAATTTTCAAAAAAATATTAAAACATGTGTTAAAATATTAAAAAAATTTATAGATAAAAGAATACATATTTCTTTAACATAAAAATTTCTACTAAAATACCATATTGTGGGATTTTCTTGATAATAAATAACAAAGGAAATAGAATTTTTAATCTTTTCCATATTATTTTTACTGCTTATGGTTTGCAGAAGTCTTGTATTGAAATTTAATTTGTCAATTGTTTAAGGGTTCAAAATTCTTACAATATACATATTTCGCAATTTTTTCAATTGACGGTTACAAGACTAAAGAAACAATTTCAAAAATCAATTACAGCAACTATTAAATCGTATATTCGAATTTTATAATTAAATTGGTTTTAGGTCCAAAAGTGGATCAATGCACAAAGCTTTTGAAGAAAATAGGCTAAACCGATTTTTTTTCAAATGTTCACAGTAACTTTATGTATATCTTTAGAGTACTATTTTTTTGTAATGGGAAAGGTGCCACGCCCACATTCGAAGTATTAATATGGGAGCTATTACAAATTATAACCAGATATAATGTTTTGTATATATACCGGTAGTAAGTATATTTTTATGGCAGCTATATGCAATTTTGAATCGATTCTAATAATTTTCTACCAAGTTAATTCCAGGATGACAAAATATCTTGTATTAGCTGCCATAGTTTCTGAAGAAACTAATTGTTTCGGATTTTTTTCTCATATCTCTGTTATTTATTGATCGATTTTATTGATTTTAAAGAGAAAACTTCTTGAAGGCATGCCTCATAGAATTATTGAAATTTGGATCATGCAGATATCTGGGACCTTCAGCAAATAGAATTTAACAAACACACAAAAGGTCGGCATAAATATCAATTGTTTTAAGGCCAAGCCAATCAGGGGGTGACCCCTACTTATGCAATGAATTGTGTTGGAACTAGGAAAATAGGTCGTGGGAGGGGGTCATAAAGGGAGTAGTGTTTGTAGACATTTGATTTAAATCTTTTTTCAGCGAAATTGGCAGGGAATACTTCTGCAGAAAGTTGGTTGCACATACGAACGGTGCGGCTGACGAATGAATTTTCGCTGTAATGCGTTCCACTTGCCAATCGACCAAAATGGGTATGTTCTTGATGAAAGTCGTGTATTGCGCAAAAATATCCGGGTATCGGGAACAAGTTCCATAATTTCAGAGGAACACACACTCCTTTGTAATATCGACAGAACAGTGAAATACACCCCACTTTGCGACGGTGCCCCAGTGAATATATAGAGTTGGATACCCTACTGTCACCGATAAGAACCTTCGTCTTCTCCTGTACGTGGTCGAGAAGCTCCAAAATAGACTTTGCAGCCCCGGCCCATATATGAGAGTTGTATTCCATTTTCGGTCGGATATAAGTGATGTAAATAGTAAAGAGATCAGATGAAGTGAAGTAAGCCTTACACCGTTTCACACCGTTTGAGTCTTGCGGACGTTGAAATTGACTTTGTATTAATAGAGTCAATTTACGAGATTGTTATCAAGTCGCGATTTAGCGATTCATTCATATTTTGCCTCATTACCCTAATCTTTAAAGGGGTTGGCCTATAACTGAATGAATATGAGTGGCAGATATTGCTGTTAACGGCAAAAGATTAGCTATTGTTGGAAGTTTGACATAGAAGGTCGTTTATGAAAATAAGAAATAGAGTAGAGGAGAGAACGGAGCCTTGCGGTACCCAAAATGGTGAATGGAATGAAAGAATTTCTCCGAAAGGAAGGCTTGTAGGTATCCCGTAGAGCGACGTCTACGAAAGCCATGCTGTCGGTCGTTAAGGAAATATTTGGTTAAGCAAATATTTGATAACATGGAAGTTAACCATACTTTCCATAACTTTGGAAAGTGCAGAACAAATTGCTATTGGGCAATAATTTTCAGGATTACTAGCCTCTCCCTTTTTAGGAATTGGCGATACATTATCAACTTTGTAGCATGCAGGAAATTTGCCGGCATGGTATAGAATGCTCAAAAGATTAGCTAATGGACGAGCTAGCATCGAACAGCACTGCTTCAAGACCAGTGCCGGCATGCCATCTGGTCCAGGAGACTTATTTATGTTGAGATCAGCTTTTATCAAATTTGTATCAATAATTGAAAATATGTTGGGGTGCACCGGTAGGCTAGTTGCTAATATGTTAGCCTCTCAGTCTGGGGGTTGAGGGTTCGATTACCACCAGAGATTCTGATCTGCTACACTACAACAGCCTTACGGTCATCATCCATCGATAAGTAAGGCTGGAGTATAGTTATACCCTACACCACTTTAGTGGGGAGGGTATATTGGGTTTGTGCTGATGTTTGTAACGCACAATAATATTGGTCCTATACCCACCTTAAAGTATACCAATCGGCTCAGAATCATTTTCGATTTAGCTATGTCCGTCCGTCCGTCCATGTAAACCTTGTAATCAAACTACAGGTCGCAATTTTGAAGATAATTCAATGAAATTTGGTACATGATCTTCTATTGTTGCAGGGAAAATGGTTAAGATCGGTCCATTATTTCACCTAGCCCCCATACAACTGAACCCCCCAATAGGGCTTGTAATCCTTGTAATCAAACTACAGGTCGCAATTTTGGAGATAATTCAATGAAATTCGGCACATGATCTTTTATGGTATCGTAGACGAAGCCTATTGAAAATGGTTAACATCGGTCCATTATTTCACCTAGCCCCCATATAACTGAACCCCCGAATAGGGCTTTTAAACCTTGTAATCAAACTACAGGTCGCAATTTTGGAGATAATTCAATGAAATTTGGCACATGATCTTTTATGGTACCGTAGACAAAGCCTGTTGAAATGGTTTACATCGGTCCATTATTTCACCTAGCCCCCATACAACTGAACACGCCGAAAAAGGCTTTTAAGTTCATAATTATGTTCAATATACTCATATCTCGACAAAAAGCTGCAAAAACCAAGTTGTCAAAGGTGTAGGGTATTATATGGTCGGCCTCGCACGACTATAATTTCTTACTTGTTTATAATTGTAAATAAATAATGCATGGAAATTTGTTGAAAATGGACTTCTCAAGCTTAACAAAAAAACGCTAAAGCGACAACACTTTTCCTAAGTAGTCAAACAGGCCTATTTTTGTACTGTTTTTATTTAAACCAAAACTGGTTTTTGGTAAATTCCTCTTTACTACAACACATTTGTCTATAACAATAATAATTGCCTCCAACCCAAAACAATAATAAATAATAACAAAAACAAAACTAGTTTATCACTCAAATAAACAAATAAATTTTTCTATATTGTTGTTGTTGATATTCTTATACAAAGGGGAACAAACTGATAAATAGAACACACATGTTCCGAAAATATTGCTGAGAATTTTTACTCGAAAAATTAACTAAGTAAAGAGAATTGAGTGAGAAGCGTTTTGTGTACTCAAACCCCCCCTACAGTAGAGTAAAACAGACAGTTGTCAGCCAAAACTGAAAAAAGCATAGGTATTAAAGTTAAAATATTTGTCTGGTCACATATAAAAGAAAAAAATATCTTACAAATATAATTATTGAAATTTATGGCAGTAAAACAACAATTAAAATAATTTTGAAGGAAAAATAAAACAAAAATTGTATACATATTAGAAAAAACAGCTAAATAAAGTATGTAACACGCAATTAAACTATTAACTTGTATTTTAGTATATTTTGCATTTGGTACCTATAATATTAAGAGAATATTTTTGTTTTAGTTTTTTGTCCCGGCCAAAACCGAACCAAATTTAGTTAAAGTAACAATTTATTTTATTATATTGTATTAATTTGTTACGTTTTGTTTTTCTATACAAAAAGTCGCAATTAATATCTAATAATTATTGAGTTTGAATAACATTTTTTCTAAAATAATTGTCTGTTTTATTTTGTATTTTTGTCACGTTATTTTGGCTTCAAATTTAGAAGAGTCCATAAAACAACAAAATACAATTAATTCATTGAAGCAAATATTGCTGGATATTTGTTTGTTTTTTTAAATAAGAATCAATTATTAATTAATATTCCTGCTATGTTTGTATATATGATATGCAAGTTTTTTGGTTTTATTTGCTTTTTTCAAAATTTTACTGCAAAATATTAGAAAAAATATACATTTATATATACAAATTTGTTTGATGGCGGTTGCCCTACAGTGAGAAGTTAGTATGTTCGGTTTGTTCATATTTCTGACATGCACGTAGCCATTTGCTTAAATTAAGAAATTATATTAACTTCTAATTAAAAGAACCTACTATTCTATGTACTAGTTTTTCCACTTTTTTTTATTGACTAGTCTATTGATTATTCTACTGACTGGTCCATAGACTAGCATATGGACTAGTTTATTAACTAATCTATGGACCAAGCTATTGACTAGTCTATTAACTAGTCTATTGACTAATTTATTGTCTGGGCAGTGGATAGACTATTAGCAAGTATATGGATAATGCAATCACTGGTCTATTGACTAGTCTATTAAATAGACTATGAAGTAGTCTACTGAATAGTCTACTGTTGATTTGTCTATTGACTAATCTATTGACTAGTCTATTGACCATTCTATTGAATAGTCTATGTATAAACTAATATATGGATAATATATTGACAAGACTGTGGATAGTCTATTCACAAGTTTATGGATAATCCACTGATAAGTTTATTAACCAGACCATTTACCAATCTTTTATCTAGTCTATTGACCAGTGTATCGACTAGTCTTTTGAATAGTGTATTGGTTACTATATTGACTAGTCTATTGACTATTCTACGAACAAGTCTATAGATAGTATATTGCAAAGTCTGTCGTCATTCCATTGACAAGTCTACGCACAAGTTTATTGACCAGTCTACTGACTAATATATTGACCAATCTGTTGACTAGACTCTTGACTAGTCCATAGATTAGTCTAATGACTAGTTTATTGACTAATCTC